CATTATTTTCAGAAACAGAGGAATATATTATTTTCTTTTAAGGACATGATTGCCCATTACTGACCTACATCCACACATCCACACGCACACTTACATAGAAAATATTACAAATAATTGTAAAATGGTGTATGAAAGAGAGTGGGGTAGAGTGTGTGTGTGTGTATGTGTGAATAGATAGTGTGAAATTATGGATTGTTTAAGGGCATGATTGCACAAAGTCAAGCTGTCCTGCAGTGGCTCAGTAAGTACCAACCTCAGGGCAGATGGTTAAGAACCAGTGCAACTGGCTGTGAGATCTATACTTAGCTTTCACCAACCAACCATCAAGTGTAAACTCCTCAGGCATGCTAACAGCTTTAGCATGGTGTCACAGATAGTCCCTTTCATCTATCTTATCATCCAGGTAACCTACTTTTGTGATAGATGATCCTTTACACCGAGGGCTCCGGCAATATTCAGGTTACTCCCAGTCCCAAAGGACCAATCGTTTACCTCGGGTCAATTTGCACTTTAGCTCTCACACCAAAGACAATGCTTCTAGCCAATCCTATAATTAACTATAAGCAGATTGATTTTATAGGAAAACAAAACAAGAGTTATTTATAAGGTTAAAGCGGGTAACCACAGAGATGCCCAAATGAGTTACAATCTTAAGTTTCAAAAAGTAATAGAACCTTCTACAATAAGCAGGTGCTATATAAGCCTTCAGCACCAACTCAGGCCAAGTTAAGACCAAGTGATGGTCTTTTGCAGATACAGTAGAACCTCAAAGTAACAACACCAGAGTTCCAAACTGACTGGTCAACCACACACCTCATTTGGAACCAGAAATATGCAATCCGGCAGCAGCAGAGACAAAAAGAAAAAGACATACAGTACAATACCACATTAAACTACTATAAAATAAAGGGTAAGTTTAAAAAAAGATTTGGGAAGGGTACAATACCACATTAAACTACTATAAAATAAAGGGTACGTTGAAAAAAAGATTTGGGAAGGTAAGGAATCTGTTTCTGTGCTTGTTTCATTGAAATTAAGATGTTAAAAGCAACATTTTGCTTCTATATAGTAAAGTTTCAAAGCTGTAATAAGTCAATGTTGATTTGTAAACTTTTGAAAGAACTTCCATAACATTTTGTTCAGAGTTACTAATAAGTTCCTTCTATTATGCCTAATCATCCTACCTCCTCCCAGAATCCAAACAACATAAAGATATTAAGATATCATTCCTCCTTGCTAGAGGTTTTTTATTCCCTTCCCCACCTTTCTTTGAGCAGCAAAATGAGCTGATAGAAGGCATTTACTTGCAAGACTCATCTTCAAGGGGGACAGGGAAACTACACAGCAAACTTTTGTCCTTTTAATGTTCCATGGGAGTATATCTGGTGACTATGGGCCTTCCTGTTAGGTAGGAAATAACACCTTGTATCGGAGATCAACATTTCACCCTATTTAATGACTCTCCCATGTTAGGTGATTTACGCACTTTGTCTATACTAGCGCTTTTGGGGTGAGGGGTGCAGAAGCAGAGAAAGGAAAAAGGGAATTTGTGCACAGACATCTTCCTTATTTGTTAGCAATAAAGCAAGACTCAGGCTAACCCTGAGGCCTAACAACGCGAGAGTGAGAATTGTAAGAGACGCTTCGCTCTAAAGATAAAGATGGAATGCTGACTCCAGCATTAACCTTGAGATAAGGTCGCATCTGAAGGAAATTGTGTGGGCAGGGAGATAACTTAGTTGTTGATGTATGTAACGGGAAGGTATGTATACTTGTCTTTCATTGCTTGTACTTTGTGTTGATGTATGTAACGGGAAGGTATATATACTTGTCTTTCATTGCTTGTCCTTTTAGATCTGTCTGACTGCAGTCTTCCCTTGCAATTGCTCAAAAAATAAACTCTCTCTGACTTGTTGCTTACAAACGCAGAGTGAGGACTTGGTTTTCTTCCACAGGGGTATGAAACAACACCCAACCCTGGCACAAGTTTCACCAACAAAAGCACCAGTGTGGACAAGGCTATGTTGAGGGAGATGGTTTCCTGCTCATTGTGGGTGATTTAATTGTGCCAATGGGAGAGCTCTCTCCCAAAGGCACAGAGGGGTTACACAGAAGACTTTACAGTGGCACAGCTGCAGTACCAAAGTTGTGCCGCTTTAAGGTCCATAATTAGACACAAGTTTAGTCACAGAGGCTTACAAAGCAAATGCTCAAATATTATGTTATAATATGTGGTACAGATACTGTAAGAGAGATTAATGCAGGCAGCAATCGACAAGCATTTCAGAAAGCAAGAGTGGTCAATAAGTGGCCTGCAGGCTGGATACAGTTTAGTTACTTGAGCATCTGCAGATATGGCCACTTGCAGCTCCCATTGGTCATGGTTTGCCATTCACAGCCAATGAGGCTCCTGTGTGTATTGTGTTAGGTGGTGTTATATAACAGCAGTCAGCACACTTTGGGTTCTAATCACAATAACAGAAAAGCAACAATAATACTGACCACAGATCAGAATTAGAACTTATTAAGGTCCTGACTCAAAGCCTATTAAAATCTTCAGCATTCTTTCCATTTATTTCAATATAGAAAGCTTTCAGATCAGGGCTTAGAGTTAGATTTTTTAAGGTATATATATATATATATGCTTGTCATTTATCATTGAAATTTTAGCAAGTTGCATTAGAAAGAACAGTCATAGCAATAGTCAGGTAACAATGAAATTAGGGCCTAATGCAAACAGTTACTCAGGTTTGTGTTTTCAGGAGCAGACCCTTCTTTAATTGTTGCCAGATGATTATTACCACTACAGATGGATGAAGAGATAATAGCCATTCATTAGTATTGTTTGGTCCTGTATTGTTACAGCCTAAATAATGCTGGGCACTTTGCAAACAGATTTAAAGGTCTCATTGCATTTCTAATAAACAGGATATTGTATATATTACTAATATGCGCATTCATGCCAGCCAAAGGGGAAAACAGATGTTCCCCTTCTACAGAGAGAAAGAAAAGAAAATCCCTGCTAATGTAAAAGTAAATGAATTTGTTGAATCAAGCTTTAAAGCACAACTGAATCTATAAATAGCAGCCTTTCCTTGTGAATCTCTAGCCAGTGTTTTATTCACATATATTTATTAGAAACTTACAAACAACTTGATAATGAAGAGCTATTGTTACTGAAGGCCAATGGGAAAGCTACACCTCTGTGAAGATAGTGTGATCCTATTAACATTCATGGAGTTACTCTAGCTTTACACTAGTGTGACTGAAAGTGGAATCAGTACATAATGGATCTGAACCCTAGCTATTTGAAGTCAATGCAGATTAGGCCCAGCATTTATAAATGTGTTGGGGGGGGGGAGGGGGGAGAAAATGGATGCACGTTTTACTAAAAGGAGCAGGCCTTAAAACAGAGGTGATTTGGGGAAATGAATTCTCTTCCAATGGCCCTACTATCTCCCCGTTTGTTTTCAAGCCCCCAAAGCAGTGTGTGTCCTACTCTGGAGAAGAAAAAGAGGGAGGGAGGAGGAGAGGAGGCTGTTTTCAAAATACAGTGATTTTCATTATTATTTTGCAAAGGAAACTCTCAAGTGTGCAAATGGGCCGCGTTGTTGGTAAGGGATGTTTAGAAATTGCTGTCTAAGGTTAAAAAGCTCCCTGAAGTGACGCTGAACAAAGCTGACATGCTTGTTTCTGACAGGACCCTTAAAGATACGCACAGATTGTGAAAATATAATTAGAGGCCCGTCTTTGTCTTGCCACAATGAGTGGGAAATGTTGAAAGAGGAGGTCTCCCAGTCTTTATTGAACCGTCCCCGGGACACAATGAGGGGGCCTGTGAGTCCTTCTCCTTCCCCTAATGAGAAACGTTAATTGCCACAATTTCCAGAGTGTGTAAAGCACCCTGTGCCCAGCCAGAAGAAGGGGTGTTTTCTTTAAAAGGTTCTCAGCCCCATTAAATGTGGTAACAGAGATAATGGAAACTAAAAACGCTGTGGTTTTAATTCCTGCAGCCCGAACAATGGCGAAGGGCTCGGTGCAGATGTGTAATTTTAATTGCCGCTGATTCCCTCCCTCCGAGCCTGCAGCAGCAGCGCTGGGAGCCGGACACATCCGGGCTGCTCCCTGCAAACTGCCAGCTCGCCCCGGCCTGCCTGCGGCTGGGGTGGGGGGAGAGTTCGGGGGAAGGAGGAGGGTAGATTCGGACTTTCCCCGCCCCCAGCTTACTCGTACCCCGCGAGGAGCAGCTAACAGGGCGCTGCGCACTGGAGCGGCATAGCGCTGCGGCTTCGCTTTGCTTTGCACCGGAGTGGCCTGGCACTTCACTTATAAGCGCTTCCCTGCCACATGCTGGGAGCAAGGCGGGGAGGGTCCCGCAGTCCCCACAAGGCGCTGCGGATGGGCGCCTGCTGACGCTAAACCCAGCGATCCAACAAACAAGGAGGAGGAGAGAGGAAAGTCACAGGAATTTGAGGCTGGTCCGCTGCCTCCTTGCTAGACCGTGGCACCGACCCTAAGCCCCCCCCCTCCCCTAGGCGGTGACGCGGGGGCGGAGGGAGGTGACCTGTGTAAAGACTGCAAAGAGGGAGCCGGGTGGACGCTGATTTTCAAGGGTCCCGTTTACACCTCTGCCCAGGATGCTCCAGTTGGCTGTGCGCGTCGCCAGCCTGTTCTCGCCCGGTGCCACCACGACATGTCGTGGCTGCTCCCCGGTGCGCTGGCACCTTGCCCACGCCCATCCCACTGCAGCCACCACTGCTGGAGGAGCGAGGAAAGCTGTGGCTCTCCCAGAGCCTGACGGGCAGGCCAGCCGCCACTGAGCTCTGCAAGGCTGCCCCGCAGATGGTAGCTCCCAAAGGAAAACCTGACATCAGTTCTTTGCTCGGTGGGTGAACCACCGCGTCCTACTTGTCACAGCTGTACATCTCCGCGGTTAGTCATTAAGCCTCAAGCCACCCCTGGGAGCTTGGTAAACAAGTGTCAGCCCCTTTAAATGGGGGGAGCCTGGGTCCCTGAGAAGTGAATCCACTTACCTAAAGTCAGAGTGTAAGAGGCACGAGGAGGGGGGTTCCTGGCTCCCGGTCCCGTAGGCGGGCCCAGCCAGCCCGAACAGGGGATGATGACACACCCGGTGGGCAGTTCTGGTTTCTCTTACAAAGGAGAAACATCGGTGAGCCCCTTTCTACCCCCGAGTTGCAATACAGGTTGGTTGGTTTTCCAAGAGCGAATCACATGGACAGGGCCAGATCCAAAACTCCTTGGAAGTCAATAGGAAACTTTCCACTGCCTTCGAGAGCTTTGGATCAGGCCCAATGAAGGAATTCCAAAACTCGAAGGAGTTTGGGGCAAAAGGGTGGGTCCCGAGGATGCCAATACTTCTCCTGTCTTCTCAAAAGGGCAACAGTCCCACACTTTCAACTTCAGACAATAACTTCATTCCGTCACCCTGCGTGCAAAGCGAACTGGAGAAGTAAACGAGGAGGTGGATTTAACATGTAAACTAGCAATTTAAAACCGCAAGAATTTTAGCAAAATAGACTGGCAGGAGAGGACCCAGGTGTGCAGACACCTTTAATTCTCCGGATTTAAGACAGAAAAGGTTAATGCGGACTCATTGCTCAGCCGGGATTCCTTATTTCAATTCGACATTGTGCTGGTCAGCTGGGTCTATTGGGAAAATTCACACCTAACCTTCGTTTTGGAAGTACCCGCATGCCCTTGCTCCATTCGTCTGAAGACGTGGGTTGTGTCCACGAAAGCTCACCATACCATCTACATATTTTTGTTAGTCTCCAAGGTATTGCAGGACCATTATTGTTGTTCTAAATTTTTCCAGCAGCAGGATTAACATTGGCGGTGTGACTCGCGGTCTGCAATCTTGCCGCAAGGTTTTATACACTTATCGGGAGATATTTGTTCACTCTCTCATTTTATGCAGAATCCAACTGTTAAGCAGGTCAGAAGGGTTGTTAGGGGGCTCAGAGGTTTTGGGATTTTTTTCCCCGAGTGCACGAGGAAAGAAAGGAACCTTGTGATCTTAACTCAAAACTCACTAACAACAAGGGGTCCTGTACAGACTAACACATTGATCCTATATCTATATTATCACGAGCTTTCATGGGCAAAACCAACTTCCTCGCATGATTTTTTTAATCTCTTACCCTCGTTTTTAAAGTTACAGACTAACCCGCTACCTCTCAGACGTCAAAACTCACTAGACCGCCCCCATTTAAGACCCCACATTCCCTGCCCCGGCTATAGGAAAATGAAGCCTCCGCTTCGCAGTGCCATATGGCTGCTGACTGGTCCTGAGGTGGAGCAGGAAAGGATAATTCTGGCCTGAGGCCCCTTGGTTGGAGGGGCTGAACTCGCTCAGCCTGGCGGCCTACTGGGACTGCCTGCGCTGGGGTTTTGCAGGCGTGTAGCTCCACTACTGGTACGAGTGACGTTTTGATCCAGCAGGCAGGTCTTGGAATACAGCAAGGTAGAAGCAGTTCCATTCGTGTCAATTACAAACAACCCCTCAATAAAGGCTGGAGGCAGATACGGGCAGTGTCTTCAGCACCTGAGCCAACGAAACAATCCCTGGTTTAAGCAGCAGTAACTTTGACAGCCCACGAAAGCTCATCATCTAATAAACCGTCTTGTTAGTCTTTAAAGTGCTACATTGTCCTGCATTTTGCTTTGACAGCCCTGGGCTAATCAGACACTTAACATTCAGCAGGTATTTGCCTACTGGCTGGGCTGTGACTCGCTCAGCAACTGGCAGGAGGAAGCCCTTACAGGGGTGGGAATTTTTAAATTACTTTTGATTTACCCCGCCTAGGCTCAGGACTGACAGGAAGTGTTCAGCGGAGGAAGAACGGACCACGGGAAGGGACAGCACGAATAGAATCCAGCTGGTTCTAAAAAAAAGCCCCGGTTGAGTTTTTGATCTTTGCAGTCCGGGTTTCGTAGCGCAGTGACTTTTATTCACAGTCAACAGCTGGGGAGGGATGTAGGGGAATGGCTGGACTAGGCAGCTACAGCAGATCGGAGAGGGTGGGAAAATTATATTCACAGCCTTCCACACGGGTGGGTTACAACCTACAGGCCTCCCTTACTTTTTTTTCTGCGAGTGCACCAAATCCGTGTCATTTCGGTACAAGGCCGTAATTTTTGCAAAATGGCATTTTGCCTGAAACAGAGAAATGCGGGAGGAAGAGAAAGGCAATTAGAATTTAAACAGAGGGCCCTGGTCTGTTACTCACATCTGTTTTAACCTGGTGGGCTGGCATACACACATACTTGCAAGTTGTCTGGGTGACAGCGACATACATTGGAAAGAGATCTCCCTCCATTGGAAATGTGTCAGGAACACACCTACTGGCGTGTTACCTAGTTAAACACCGCCCTATATTTTTCTCTCTATTTGTGGAGAGCGAAAATGGTGTGATGCAGTGGTTCTCCAGGCCGGGACACCCTGATCTATGCAGGTTGCCCCTTCCCAACGCACTGGTTTAAGTGAGCCCAATTAGACTGTGTACTAAAGGAAAACGCAGCAAGACGACACACTCACTACTGATCATATTTAGCAGAGATGGGTTTGGAATCAACACGTACAATGCGTGGTCTTAAAGTCGTCTTTCTTTAATGTTACAACCCCCCTAACACTACACATTTCCCGGACCCTACTGTCGTTTTTAATACAACCACGTGTCCAGCCAACAAGTGATATCAAAATTATTAGACTTTTAAACTAGAATCAAACCCTAGTCTGCATAGGGACATAAGAGGGACAAAAGTACAAACAAAGCAACTTTAGGAGCGGGAGGCTACTGGGACCTGAATAAGAAACGCATTTCTGTAGTGCTTAGCTCTGTGGCATGTGAGCAGCGTGGGCTAGGAGGATGTTCTTTCGTCTCAAGTACATGCCTGCGGCAGAGGAGAGACCTAGTATCTATTTCCTGGGGTGAGGTACCAGCCATGTTGGAAGAGTCCTCTGTTTTGGAGTGGCTGGCTGCATGTCGCCTCAGATTGTCTGCCACGGTTTCCCAATGGACTGAATATGCTCCTTGGCTTTCAGCCGTAACGCAGCTATGCTGGTGTTCCTAGGATCCACCTCTTCCAAAGGGAATTTGTCCACAAAATTGGTCCCACACTGGTAGGGCGGTGGAGGCCCCATTGTCCCCAGCGGTTGCAAGGTGTGGCCCATGGGTGGCGGCGAATTCAGGAAAGGTGGCGGGGTATAACTATTGGGGAGGCTTTGGGGGGAAGCCACGAAGCCGGGCAGAGTCTGCAGAGGGGTGCTGTTAGCCATCGGAGGGGTAAGCCAAGACTCCAGCGATAAATTGCTGCTGATTGTGCCCATGGCGGAGGGTTGGGGGGACCGGCTGAAGGAGAGAATAGGGGAGTCCTGCAGCTTCATGGAAGTGACTTCGAGTTTCTCTTGCCGTCTCCATTTGGCTCGCCTGTTCTGGAACCACACCTGAAAACACAGTTTGGGGATTAGCACCGAAAAGGGGGATTCTTATCTTCCTCCTGTCAATTCCAACGCAAAGAGCAAGGGTACGGCTACCCTGCAAGGAATTAAGACAGTCACTCCAGCTACCTCAATTACCTAGCTGAAGCGGAAATAGCTTAATTTGGCTTTAGGTGCTAGCTACTAGGCAGAAAGTCCAAGGAAGAACACTGGTCCCTCCACTTTTCTTACTCCCCATGAAATGAGGGTTACAGGAGTCGGGGGAAGAAGCCCGTTATTACAAAAACATTTTGAAATAAAGGGCTTGCTGTGTAGACGTGCATTCTGTTATTTCAAAAGAGACCAGCGTGTAGACGTAGCCCAAAATGAGTAAGTACAGGAGAACAGTCTACCTGCTGTGCTCCTTTGCTTCTGGGGTTTACCCAACTCTGTAGCTGTGACACTGGCCCACAAAAACGCTAGGGTCCTGAATTAGTTGCGGGAAGGAGGGAGGATGCGATTCCTTGGGTTGAAATAATTTCTTTTAAATCGAGGTCTTTCCAAATTACTTATGGGAAATGGGTTGGCTTGAACTTCATCCAAAGGCAAAAGAGCGAGGAGGAGTGCGGATTCCCCGGGAACCAAAGGAGGCAGAATTGCTTTTTTGCATATATATAATAATTTCTTTGGGGGAAGGGGAGAATACTTTCTGGAGCCAGAAAAATATATCTGAATTCTCCTTTAAAGAGATAGACAAGGCAGAACGCAACACGCAGAAAATAGGACATATAACACACGCGCACATCTATCATGTCTTCTCATTTTCTCTACCTGGGGTGGGGAAACTCGAGCTATTTCTGGGGGTTCTCCCGGAATGACCTTCCTAGCCTTCCATGTCGCTTCGTGTGTGGGTGTGGCTTTGTTGGAATATCGTTGCTTTAGTACAGAAAATAGCAATCGGCCATAGCTTTGCTCGATGGAGTTACCCCAATAACTTCTCTAAGGCACCGCGGCACAGAAATCTGTCATTTCCAACTAAGGGAAACAGCCCCGGTTTTCAGCAACGAGTTCGAGCCGGATCCAAAGCTGCTGAAGTTAATACGAGCCCTTCCACTGACAGGAGGAAGGTGGGAGGTTAGATCACCACGGACGCTAATTATGAGCTGTACTCTGGATCTTGCAGTTACTAGTGTTAGCTAAAAGCGGGACACAGCCCAGACAGCTCCTCCGGCTCCGGCTGAAATCAAGCTTGATCTTTTCAAGTGAAAACGCTCAGAGGCAATTTTGTCTCACGCACCCAAGTCAAGTAATTCCCTTGAACCCAGAAACCCAAATCTGGTCTCATTACCACTCGTTGTGATGAAATTAACACCAATTTTCCTTCCAGGCAGCTTTAAACCCCACACAGCTTGGAACCGCTCCCAGATTTTTCACAGATGACTAGTAAATATTGAAAAGCTTTTCAACCATTTTAATGACCCGAGGATTAAAGATAATTCAGCCTTAATTAAAGCAAAACACTCTCCCAGCGCAGCACCACGCGGTGGGAATGAAGGTAAAGGTGAGGGCTCGCAGCGCGCGGGGAATGTTTCCACGTGTCCCGGCAGTGGGGAGGCGGGCGCGGGAGAAATGTTCCTCGTGGGAACACAATCAGGCCGATCGCAATGTCCGATGAATGAAATCCCTCCCCGCGGCGGAGCTCGCGCCGGGCTCGCTTACCTGCACGCGCACTTCGGGCAGGTTGACCTTGACGGCCAGCTCCTCGCGGCTGTACACGTCGGGGTAGTGCGACTTCTCGAAGGCTCGCTCCAGCTCGTGCAGCTGGTAGGTGGTGAAGGTGGTGCGGTTGCGCCGGTGCTTCTTCTTGGGCTGCTCCTCCTCCGCGAGCTTGGCGTCCGGGGCCGGCGGGCTGAGCCGCTCCTGCGGAGGCTGGGGGCAGCCGGGCTCTGGGGCGGGAGGAGGGAGAAGAGAGCGTCAGGCGGGCTCCGGAGCTCGCCCGCACGTGCCCCGCTAACCGGACTCAGCGCCCCCTCCCCGCCCAGCTCCCGGCTCACCTTCGTACTCCTCGGCCCCGCTCTCCTGGCCGGCCGCCGGCTCCCCGGGCAAGCCCCGCTTGTCCGCCTCCTTCAGGGCCTGCGGGCCGGCGGCGGGCGGGAAGGAGCCCAGCAGCCCATCCTCCTTGGGGAAGCCCAGGATGGCCTCGATGCTGTGCAGCCGGGACTGGGGCCCGCCGGGGCTCCTGCCCAGCTGGGCCGAGAGAGAGAAGCTCCCGTCCGCCATACCCAGAGGGGAGCTGGGCAGGTGCATGGAGCCCCCCGCCTGGCTCCCCCGCTCCCCGCCGGGCCGGCCCGCACGGCTGAGGACTCCCAAGGCAACACTCCGCCGAGCTGGGGGGATGCGCCCGCAGGTGCCCAGATGGGGATGAGCCGCCCCCCTGCGCGCACTCTGCGCCCGTAGGCTGCGCTGGGGGTCCGAGCCCGCCTTCCTTCTAGGGGCCTGGCTCCGTGGTCAGGGGCCTCTCCGCGCCGAGTGGCTCGGGCAGGGCTCGCCGGGGAGTTTTAAAGTCCCCTCCGTGCTCGCCGCCGCTGCCGCGTTCGCATTCGCCCGCGGGCTTTGTCTGGCGGGGCTCGCTGTGCCCCTGGGCGCACGGGGCGCTCGGCTCCTCCCCGCCCTGCCAGAGCGGGGGCCGCCCTACGTTTCAGCCCCAGCCTCACAGGGCGAGCGCTTCCAAGGCGGGAGCTCGTCAGAGGCTTGAGCGAGGAGCAATTATCCCACAGTTCGGAGTGACTCTTGAAACCCTCGGCACTGCCAAGGGTTGGGCCATCAGACCCCACCGTGGGGAAGGGCCAGTCGGACAACCAGCGCGTCTTTTAGAAAGTGGATTCAATTGACCAAAGCCAATCACAAAACCCAGGTTAAAATGCAGCGCCCGCCCTAATCCGATGTAGCGAAGTACGCGGTGTTCCTCGAAATCTCATTGTTGCTATCACACAGTTTGAAACAGCTCAGCTGGTTCCCGTTTAATTGTTGGTTTGGGAAGGAATCTATTTATATGCCTTTCCTTTATTTTTAAACCGATTTAAAAATCAGGTCATCTTGCTAGATTCTGACTGATGCGTTCTGGGTTGTCTTTTTTTACCCTAAGATTTTAATTATTTTGCTCCATATTTAGATATTTCTGGTGTAATGGCCTCTGTAAAATGCATCCTTTGCTTCTAAGTATTGGCTTTCTGCTTGTTGGGAAGGAATTGTCTTTTGCTAAATTCCTTGCGCAATAAATGTGCTAATTGTTTTTCTAGTCCCCTTAAAAATCCGTTCTTGCTATTAATGCTAGTGCAGATTTCTGAATAGATTTCCAAAGGTGTGAAAAACGGAGTGAACGAAAATAAGGCGCAAACAAAATATTTGAGATGCTTTTCTCATAGTAAAACAGGGGTTGTTACTTAGGAGAACGAAGTAAACTGAACATCAAATGTTACTGGTAGCAAAGTTCCTTTACTCAGACCCTGGAGTAAAGACGCACGGACCCACCGCAGGCTCAACACACTCCTGTCACGAAAAGGGGCGTTGTCTCCTGGAAACATCACAACGTCTTCAGATCCTGTCTGTTCGCTTGATGCCCCCCCAGTGTGTCCCTTCCCACTGACGCTCCACTCTGATGGGAGCCCTAGGGACTAAGGAAGAAGTCAAACTAGCGAGTTCTGGCTTCATGCCTTGACATGCATGCTTGGGGAAGGGGAGAGATTTCGCCGTCCCGCTCGTGGGGTGTCCTACGGATTTATTCGGTGGTGGAGAGGAGAAATTGTGGGAAGAATTCCTCCAGGGGCGTTTGGCCAGCAGCTGGAGTCAGATCAGGGGAAGAAACTCCCTCCTTCACCAGGAGAGCTCGCCTGGACATCGGCTGCACATGCAATAGACCCACTAACTCGTACAGCAACAGTCGGGGTGTTGTGGAGACACGCCTGAGTGTAGGCTGCCAGGCACAGCATGCAGATCACAGCGCCCTCTTTTCTATCGCTGAGAGCTCAGGGGTAGCAGGGGGAAACTTAATAAAATGCCCAAGGGGGCCGTTGAGCCTTTGAGTAGTTAGAATTCTGAAGCTCACCAGAAACCTTTAATTACGTTGACCACAACAATAAAGTAATCCATTAAAAGGCAGAGTTCTGGGTGGGAAGCTGATCTTTTCTCTGGTGATGTGTTAACGGTTGCGATCCAAATGTAGCTAATGTATTTTTTTAAAGCCTAAGTTAGTTTTCTACTAGATGCTGAAATCAAACGATGAAGGGGTTACGTGTTGGGATCACTTATCTATTTCTAAAACTTATTTCCAAATCTAAAAAACGGATCTGTGCATGATTTCTAAAACCAGTGCTAGAGGCTAAAGATGGGTTGTGAATTTCACGAGGTCGGGGAGGACTGTTTCTCTGGCTTGTTAAACTCGACTCCCGTTCGGGAGAGCAGTAGTTTTGTACTGGATGATCACTGAATGGGCCCTAATGATAAGAAGAGGGACGGAACAAATTGCAAAATGAACTTTCTTCAGGCCAGGGAAGCCGGTGAAACAATTCATGGTTATACTAACGGAATGGCCAACGTGTGCCCATCACGTCGGACAGTCAGAGGCGCTTGTCTATTGAAAAGCTTCAGAGGGGTAGCCCACTTAATCTGTAGCAGGAAAAACTAAACAAAAACAACAAATAGTCTACTAGCACCTTATAGACTAACAAAACATGTAGATGGTATCATGAACTTTCTGGGCACAACCCACTTCTTCAGATGACCTGAGTGTTGGAAGTCTAGATCCAAGAATAAGTAAGGGGGGAGGGAGGGGAAAAATTGAAAGGGGACGAAGAAAAAACTTGAGTAGATAAGCTTCAGAGGGATAGCGGAGTGAGTTAGTAACAGGAAAAACTTAAAAAAACAACAGTCTAAAAGACTAAATAGTTGCAAGAGGCTGATAAGAACCATTGGTTAGCACTTGGAAAGGAAGATGACCAACACTGTTTAGTCCGAGCTGTGGTGTGTGTGTCTGTCTCTATCTATATATCTGAATGGACATAAAAATCTAAACTGAGAGAGAAAAAACATTGTCTGGTGTATCAGCCCGTGTCCCATTGGAAAATGCACATTTCGGGTTTGTTTCTCCAAGCGCGATTTCCCGCACACTGCGAGAGGGCTTATGGTTTGGTTTCCTCCAAGATAATTCCGTTTAGACCTGCCCGGCTTTCCCGAATCGCTCCAGGTGAGCTTACTCTGTGGTTACGATGTACTGAGAGAAAGCAGGAGAAACTCAGCAGCCGTTGGCAGAGAGGAAAGAGTTGGAGAAGGGACCAGAGAAGTTTAGGCTGGCTTTTGTGCGCAGTATAAAAAGGAAGTCAACACCATTGTGGGGGCATTGGAGGGTACTCAAAGCAATCAGCCGGGGGTCATTGTGATGGTTTAAGCTACATGTGTAGTTCCTAAGAACTCCATTAGAGAAGATGAATGGACTGTGCGATGTCCCTAATTTCTTCTCCTGTGGAGTTGGGTGTTTCTGGCTCAGACCCGCACAAAACGCGCCAGACCCTCCAGAAACCCGGGGCACAAGCTGAGGGATCCCTCTGCATGGTGCAGCTACAAGTACAGCAACAGGAAGCTGCAAATTGCGGGTCAGTTCCCGAGCAGCGAACAAGGGTTCAAATTAGACAAGGAAGGGGGTAGTGCATGTTCTGCAAGAACCGCAGACCGCTGTCCTGTTTTCGTGTCCAACCAGGGCTGCGTCAGTGACAAAGGCCGAGTGAAACAAGAAGATTCCCAAACTATAGTACTCCAGTGTGACCTAACACAAAGCAGGCTAATTCCCCATCCAACTTATAAGGCTCTTTCCTCATGACTAAGGAGCCCCTATTTTATTTCCCTTCGCCTTAGGGGTCCACAGTCTATTCCAAATACCTACATCATACAGTCCTAGAATAACTACCCGATATATGTTGTAAAATGTGAGGGGGAGGAGGGACGAGTCAGCTAACAACTCCCCTCATAGAAGAGAACTAGCGGCTACTGCACAAACAGGATAAGTTTGTCTTACTTTATTCGCACACACACCCCTTCAGGCACTTATCACTATAACAGAAGACTAAGGTATGTCTACACAGCAACACTGTTTTGAAATTACTAGGGCTTTTCGGAAATAACTTAGTCCTGGTCTACACAGCACGCAGTAATTTCAAAATGGTATCAAGCTGGAGGACTTCTTACTCCAACTCCTGTAACCCTCAGGCTGTGTCTACACTGGCACCCTTTTCCCGAAAAGGGATGCTAATGAGACACTTCGGAATTGAAAATGCCGCGGGGGATATTTAAATATCCCCCGCGCCATTTGCATGAACATGGCTGCCGCCTTTTTTCGGGTCCGGGTTTTGCCAGAGAAAAGCGCCAGTCTAGACAGGATCTTGCGGAAAATAAGCCCTTTTCTGGAAGATCCCTTATTCCTACTTTCAAGACTTGGCCTTTCAAGTAGGAATAAAGGATCTTCCGGAAAAGGGCTTATTTTCCACAAGATCCCGTCTAGACTGGCGCTTTTCTCCAGCAAAACCCCGAGCCGGAAAAAAGCGGCAGCCATGTTCATGCAAATGCCGCGGGGGATATCTAAATCCCCCACGGCATTTGCAATTCCAAAGTGTCTCATTAGCATCCCTTTTCCGGAAAAGGGTGCCAGTGTAGACACAGCCTCATTGTATGAGGAGTAAGTGAAGTTGTAGGAAGAGTGCTCTATTTTGAAATAAGTACTGGGTAGATGCTCTCTATTTTGAAATAAACTATGTAATTGACATAGCTCAAATTGTGTAGTTTATTTCAAGTTAAGCCCTGCCATGTAGATACACTTTAAGATACACAATTTGCATAGCACAAATTGTGTACCTTATTTAGAGTTTAGGGTGCTCTGTAGCTCAGTAGTGGCCCGTCAATACAGGCGAGCTAGGCAGTGGTCTAGGCCCCAAGATAAACAGCCATTGAGGGCTTTGGAGGTGGGAGCGCTGATCCTGTTCTGATCGCACATTTCACCTAGGCTGTGTCTAGACTGCATCCCTTTTCCGTAAAAGGGATGCAAATTAGACACATAGCAATTGCAAATGAAGCGGGGATTTAAATCCCCCCCGCTTCATTTGCATAAAAATGGCTGCCGCTTTTTTCCGGCTCGGAGCTTTGCCGGAAAAAAATGCCAGTCTAGACGCGGATCTTTCGGAAAATAAAGCCTTTTCTGAAAGATCCCTTATTCCTCTTAAAATAAGGAATAAGGGATCTTTCAGAAAAGGCTTTATTTTCCAAAAGATCCACGTCTAGACTGGCGCTTTTTTCCTGCAAAGCTCCGAGCCGGAAAAAAGCGGCAGCCATTTTTATGCAAATGAAGTGGGGGGGATTTAAATCCCCGCTTCATTTGCAATTGCAATGTATCTAATTTGCATCCCTTTTATGGAAAAGGGATGAAGTCTAGACACAGCCCTAGGGCACAAGTTGCCAGCAGCTCATCTAGGGCTGCTCCTGGTATAGCTGTACCCTAAAACTAATATGGATGCAGGGGTACTGACAACCATTGAACCAAGCTATACAGTCTGTATACACTAGCAAAATGCAGGACAATGTAGCACTTTAAAGACTAACAAGATGGTTTATTAGATGATGAGCTTTTGTGGGCCAGACCCACTTCCTCAGATCAAATAGTGGAAGAAAATAGTCACAACCATATATACCAAAGGATACAATTTAAAAAAATGAACACATATGAAAAGGACAAATCACATTTCAGAACAGAAGGAGGATGCGGGGAGAGTGGGATGTCTGTGAGCTAATGGTATTAGAGGTGATAATTGGG